GACAAAGAGAATACAGAGCTGGAATTAAGAAAAACAATACCCTTCACAATAGCTAATTACAAGATTAAATACTTGGGAGTAAATTAAACCAGAAGCACAAAAAATCTAATCAAAGAAAAGAAACAAAAAGAGACCTTGTGAAGTGTAAGAATATCCCTTGCGCATGGATAGGAAGACTCAATATTGTGAAAATGGCAATACTACCAAAAGCAATTTACACATTTAATGCACTCCCAATAGAAATACCAATCCCATTCTTCAAGGAGATGGAAAAGGCAATCTCCAGTTTCATTTGGAATGGAAAGAAGGCCCGAATAAGGAAAGCATTCCTTAAAAATAGAAGAAAGGTAGGAAGTATCTCACTCCCTGATTTCAAATCCTACTACACTGCCATAGTGGTAATGACAGCATGGTACTGATACAATGACAAACACAGGGACCAATGGAATTGTATTGAGAAGCCGGAGATCAGCACATCTATCTATGGTCAACTGATTTTTTTTTTGTTTTTTTATTGTTGTTATTATTATTATTAATTTCAGGTCAACTGATTTTTGACAAGGAGATGAGATCAGTTAAGTGGGGAAACGACAGCCTTTTTAACAAATGGTGTGGGCAAAATTGGGAAAGTATCTGCAAAAGACTCATGCACACATCTCACTCCATATACAAAAACCAACTCAAGGTGGGTCATGGACCTAGGACTAAACCAGGAACTATAAACTTCATTGAAGAAAAGCTAGGAACAATGCTAGAAGTCCTAATGCACAAAATAAACAGTCTTCCAAGTATCCTGGAAAACCTACAACCAGGAGAAGATAAAATAGATGAATGGGATCTTCTAAGAAACAAATCCCTGTGCACATCCAAAACCTTCTTCACCAGGGTAAAAAGGGAAGTCAGAGACTGGGGAAAAGTATTTGGTAATGACAAATCAGATAAGGGACTTATATACAGAATTTATAAAATTATTGAGCACCACAACAAGATAAAGGTAAATAATACAATAGAAAAATAGGCACAAGATATGAACAGAGAACTTCACCGAAGAAGACATGTAGATGGCTAACAAGCACATTGAAGAAATGTTCAAAATCCTTAGCTCTAAGATAGATGCAAATGAAAAGAACTATGAGATATCATCTCACCCCAGTCAGAATACCAAAATTTAACAGAACAGCAAGCAACAAATGCTGGTGAGATTTTGGAGAAACTGGAACCCTTATTCACTGTTGGTGGGAGTGTAAAATGGTGCAACCACTGTGGAAGGCGGTTTGGCACGTTCTCAAAAAGTTGCAAACAGAGATACCGTTTGATCAAGCAATTGCACTACTGGGAATATACCGCAAAGAGACCATAACTGACATCGAAGCAGATATATGCACACCCATGCTTATCGCAGCTTTGTATACAAGAGCAAGGAGTTGGAAACAACCTAAGTGCCCATCAACAAATGAATGGGTAGAGAAGTTGTGGTATATTCACACAATGGAATACTATGCTGCATTGAAAAGCAAGGCACTCATGCAATATTATTCAAAATGGGTGACCCTGGAGGACATTAGGCTGAGTGAAGTATCTCAGTCACAAAAGGACAAATACTTCATTGTGCCACTATTGTAAAACAGGACTGACATCAGGGTTTGTGGGAGACTGAGAATGATGGGCTCAATAATGTATGCTGCATTGAAACAGATGAGGGAGAACACTGTTTAAAGGGGATATGGAATTAGGTATTTTTGTCACGACAGGAGTCTAGAGCGAAGGCTACATGGTGGAGTGGACTGGGGGAGGTTTTGTAAAACAATGAAGGAATTTTTGTTTTACTTTTACAAGATGATGATAGTGTATTACAGGGAAGGGTTGGGTGGGGAGAAAAGTGCAGCAATGAATGAATGGAACTCCAAAGTCTCTGTAAATTTTTACTGAAATTAATAATAAATTTAAAAACCTAAATGGAAAAAGGTCTAGTATTAGACTGGAGATGATTGTACAACCTGATGAATGGAAGTAATATCCTGAATTGTATGCTACAAAAGGGTAATTTTTGGGGAAAGAGGAGACTCATTATCCTTATGGGCTGCCAGGGTAGGGGTCAGGTGTGAAGGAGGGAGTGAAGCTGACCACAGCTTTAAAAAAATTACAATTTAAAATGTAATTTGCTTTTAAAAGGACAACCCACTACCAAACTGCTGCCTACTCTGTGTGATCTGCTATTTCCTCTCCTGTTCCTTGCCACCTCTTTGACGACTAGAAGCTCCAGGAAGACAGAGCTGGGGTGGTTTCTATCTTAGTTCTGTTTCTGGCCTCTGGGACAGCACTGAAGGTGCAGTGGGTGAATAATACATATTTGTTGGTTGAATGAATGTCTTCTGCTTGTCCCTCAGTCAAACCTGACCCTCCGGTGATCATGCATGTGAGCCAGGTCCCTGAGAATCATCTGCAGGTGCAGTGGAATGCCCCTGGGTCTTGGCCCCTCCCAGAATCATATAGACTCAAATACCAGCTTCGCTACAAGGGCTGCAAAGCTGAGCACTTCCTGCAGGTGAGGAGCATGAAAGAGAGGGCAGAAAGGGGCCTAGAGTGGTACCAGGTATGGCCACCCCGGTAGATGGGACACTACATGCACACTGGTAAGGGTCAGCAGGGCTGTGCATACTTTGGGGTGAATGGTGTGTAATATAAAGAAGTCAACAATTATACCCCCAGAAGTCCACCCACGAGATGAAAACTCCCCTCCACACATCTGTGTTCCCTTCAGCTCTCTTTGCACGAGCCAGGAGTAGAACCTGAGCAGGGTCCATCGGCAGGTGGTCTGTCTGCAAAGAAGCATGAAACCTGCCTTGTTGTGATTGCTGGTTCCACCGCATCGGTGTTGACTCTTGATGACCCATGTGTGCCTATCGGTGCCGCCCTCACCTGGGTCGCTGTGCTTAAACCCAATGGCCAGTCATGGTGTCGTCCACTTCATTGCAGATCTTTCGATTTCTCGAGTTACTATCTGGGATTGGTTCTGACACCGGCCCCATCCAGGTCTGCGCCCTTTTCACAATCTTCTCTGCGTCCCCGTCCTGGCAGTCACCCGGTCGACCCATCTCTCTGAGCGACTCCTCTCTCATTGACTGACATTATTTCACAATCATGAAGTCTTCCTCCAGGGCCTGACCCCTCCAGATAACATCCACAGAATAATTCTCCTCCCAGGAGTGTGCTCAGAATAACCAAAGGACTAAGACACACACACCTGTGTGTTCAGAAGAGCACAGTGGCTGACAGGTGGAAACTACCTGCTGTCCATTTAGTGGAGAGTGGTTTTACACAGCACACTCCATTTAAACAGAGAATTGCTGTTAATGAAGTCCTGATATATGCTGGGGCTTGACACATGATGTCAAGTGAAAACAGCCAGACACAGAAGACGGATGCCATGCTGTAAAAATCCCTTTATGTGAAATAGCCAGAGTAGGTAAACCCATAAAGAGAGAAAATAGATTATAGTGATAGAGCACAAGAATGTTTCTTTGAGGCCTACGATGTGCCAGACACAAGCTATGGGATTTCAACTAACCCCTATGCATGTGAAAGCTGGATCATGAATAAGGAAGACAAAAGCATTGACACCTTTAAACTGGAGTGCTATTGAAGAATACCGAATACACCGTTATAGTGACCAAAGCATGAAAACATCTGTCTCGAGGGAAGAACGACTCCAATTTTCCTTAGAAGAAAGGATGTTGAGATATCATCACACACTCTTGGGACATGGTATCAGGAAGGGTCGTTCCCTGGAGAAGTCCATCGAGCATGAAATGCAGGGGGTCAGCAAAAAAGAGGAAGACCCTCATTGACATGGATTGACAGCGTGGGTGTAGCAATGGGCTCAAGTACAGCTGAGATGTGAGGGTGAAGGTGGACATTGGTGGGTGAATAGGTGAGGTTGGGAGGGGCCCAAGTGGTGTGTGTGTGTGTGTGTGTGTGTGTGTGTGTGTGTGTGTGTAATGCTGGTTGGAATGAAGCCAGATCTCATAGAGGGGAGGACAGAGGGTTGCCTCATGCTCTGTTGTTCAAGTCACCCATCCCCTCTCTTTTCTCAGGTGGGCCCCATTGAACACACCAACTTAACGATCGAGTTGATGCACCTAAAGGGCAATTACTGCATCCAGGTCAATGCTCAGGATCTCTTGGGCCATGGGGAGCCAAGTGAATGGAGTCCTTCCACTGTTTACTTCATCTCTCCAGGCAAGTAGTGGTGTCCTTCTCCCAGCACCCCCACAAAGGTGCTCAAGGGACCATGCTGTCCTCTTCAAGTCCCTGATGTTGCTGCTGTGTTGCTGGGCTACCTTAGACCAGTGACTTTAATCTTTCTGCACTTGATCTTAGCCAAAAGGCCGAGAAGCGATTAATCTTTCTGAGACTCAGTTTTGTCATCTGTGAAACGGGGATGTTCTTTGCCTTAGTCCCACAGCGGTGAACAGTGAAATGTGATGTGAGAGTCTTCATCGCTTTTTTAAACATAGTAGGAGTGTTCATGTCTGAGGCAATAGCAGGTTCTTGATCTGAACTCACTGCTCCAGAAGAAGGTGGAGCAGCTCCCCTGCCTGGGTTTCTCTCTATCTTCTGACCCAAGAGAAGCTCTGCTTCAGTTCACTAGAACAAAAGGCCTGTGAAAGCTGCCTCCTCTGCCAGACAACTTCTGCAGCTAGGATAGCCCCAAGTGCTAAAGGCAGTAGATGGATTAGTTGTGAGGAGACGCAAGTTGGAGTGTGGAGACCTGATTGTGAAACCCAGAAGCTTTGGTTTTCCCTGTGAGAAGAAACTCCAGCTTTCTTGCTCTCGTCTGCTTGAGCTTAAGGGGTCCCACGTGATCCAACAAAAGACCAGTGGCTCTCCGAAAAGTACCTCACTCAAGTTCTGCATTGCTCCTGGCAGGGTCATCAGCATCAGGACCAGAGTTCTGAGCATGGCCCAGGTCTGAGGCACCGGGACCAGAGTTCTCAGCATGACCCGGGTCTGAGGCATCGTGATCAGAGTTCTCAGTATGGCCCAGGTCTGAGGCATCGGGACCAGAGTTCTCAGAATGGCCCAGGCCATGTTACCAGCAGGAGCAGAGGGCCATCAGTGTAAGGACTGGAGTGCTGGTCTCAGACTTTGATTTTCTCTCACTCAAATTTCAGCTGTCCTGCTCACTCCTAGCTGTTCAGTGGGTTGTGAAGGGATGAGGTGTGTACAGGTTGGTCCCAGAAGGTCCCAGAGGGTCACTATGTGTTGCAGTAAGTTGTTGGGTCCTGGTGGGATGCTGGTTCCCTATGGGTCACAGTTTCCAGTGTGTCAGGGTTCCCAGCTCAGTTCACTCTTTCTTGAAGGTGGTGTAAATTTAGTTTTTTCCCTAATTAATTGCCATCCATGTGTTGTGTGATTCCTAGATATAATTTTGCATGTGTAAAAACATAGATCGAAAATGGAAAAGATTCTGCAGGGGCTTTTTGTTTACTCAAGTTGCTAAGACACCAGGGCTCCTTCTTCGCCTGGTCCAGTGGTTACCCACTGAGGTCCCGTCAATATCACCTCTGTCTGCTCTCTCATAGTCATGGTTGGCCAACTTTTCTCCTGTCCTCTGGTCTTGCTAACTCTCTTGTTATTAACTTCTAGTGTTATATCATTGTAGTCTGAGAAGGTGCTTTGTATTATTTCTATCGTTGGTTTTTTTTTAATTTTTTAATGGTTTCCTTGTTACCTAAAATTTGATTTGTTCTGGAGAGTATTCCATGCGCATTGGTGAATAAGGTATAATTAGCTTTTGCTTTTTTATTTCATTCATTACCCAGTATATTTCTGTGAGGTTGAGTTGATCTATGGTGTGGTTTAATTCTTATGCATCTTTGCTGAGTTCTTTCTGGTAAGTCTATCTTAAGAGTGGTTTATTGAAGTCTCCTACTGTTGTCTATTACTCCTTTCAGACGACCAGGCACCACAGCACTTTCATGGCCTTGTACCAGAGTCACCTGCTCAACGTGATCCAGGCAAGTCTAACAAGAGTGAGTTCACTACCTGCTCCTTGACAAGATGCCTATCCGGCTTTAGGCCAGCCCCTGCACCTAGCTGGGCCTCAGTCTCCACATCTGTATCTGGAAACTCTGATCTTGTCAGAGTTCCTCTGCCTGTTGTAAACTTTTAGTGTTCATCCTCTGGGTGGGCTGGCCAGTTCAAGGCTGTGGAAGAAGAAGAATGGGGGTTTGGGCAGGACTTCCCAGACCTCTACTCCCCATAACTCCAGGGCCAGATGGCTAAAGACTTTCTGTGAATCCTCAATCAGATTCTGCAAATGCAGAGGTTCCAAGCACAGGGCTGCTGAAGCCGGCAGTTGGTTGCTACTCCTCAGAGGCCTCTCTTCCAACATTGCCTCCCCATGACTCTGCAAATCTGAGTGCACCAGGTCCACTCAGGCACTGAGCGTGTACACTGCCCTTTCAAACCTGGGGGTACTTGGAACCCCTTCCTGAATATCTTCACCTGACTGCACCCCTACCCCATCCGCACCTGAGTAGGAATCTTTGGCCATCCAATTTCCCCTCCACTGTCAGCAAACACCAACCCAGGACTGAAACATCACTGTGCTCACGGCCAGAAAGGAAAGCATGTGGCCCAGCTACTGGGTACCCTTGTGGACAGGGGGAGTGTGTGCATGCAAGACAGGGCCTGGAGTGGGGTAAGCGAGGGATTACAAATTTATAAAAAAGGGAGACTAAACCACTTGCTGTAGCTCATATTACATCTGTGTACATCAGAGTAGAACCAGGCTCATAAGATTTTCAATGAATGGTTTCGTGCACGTAGGTGGCCAGGCTTTCTTCCATGGCACTTGGGCACACTTGAGTGTTTCCTATTTGGCTAACAGCAGTGTGGGGTGGGCTGTCAGTTAAAACTCTGTCCTTCTCTGGGCACCATGCAGACAGGGCCTGGTCCCGTGGGGTCAGCGGTGACCTGATCTTTGCAACAGCTTCCCTTGAGCCGATAGCGCCCCCATATGTGTGAGAACGGAACTGATCTCCGTTGGGTTTTCAGTGGCTCAGAGTTTTCAGAAGTGGATTCCCAGGCCTGTCTTCAGAGGCACCTCTAATGAGCACAATCCACCCTGGAAAGGTTTAAAGGGACACGCAAAACTCGGTCATGTAGATAAAAGTATGTTGGACTTCTTGTTGTTGATTGCCTTCAAGTCGAGCACGACTCATAGTGAGCATATGAACAAAAGGCTTGAAGCCCATTTACAACTATTGAGAGTTTTCAAAGTCCATAAAGATTCCAGATGTATGTTATTTAGGAAGTGGATGCCACTCCTGCTTCCATGATGAAGCATATTATCAGTAAATTAGTTAGAAAATTGAGATGATGTGGGGAGAAAATAAGCAATGGTGAACAAAATATGAGCATTTTCCAGAAACACAGTGTCAAGAATTGTTACCTTTTGCTTCCCCTCACGTGAGTTTCCCATCAAGAAGGCAGGATGGAAGGACTGGACATGATGGGAATCATAAGCCACAGGCTCTGTTCCTGACCTCGACCCCAATACTGTGGACATTCCAGCCCTTCCCCACCACCCACCGGCCCAATGGAGGGGCTGTAAAAAGGCTGCAGGACCCTCAGCACTATTTAAAGGGAGTCAGTTCCCAGCCTAGTGCTGGGTGGTATCAGACCCTGCATGTTCCAGAGAGAGGCCTGGCCAGCGAGTCTCAAATTAACCCCTCTCGGCACCAGGAAGCACTAGCATGGTCCCCAAGCTTCTGACCTTGATCCTCTGGGCCAGCTGCATGTCCTGCAGTGGAAGTGAAGGTGCAAATGGGCCCTGTGGTGGTTAAGGAAAGGGGTCCCCCAGGCAGGGCTTGACCAACGAGCTTGCCATTGACCCTTAGATCAGGTCTAACATACGGAGTGGTATAGGGTAGACTAATTCACAGAATGTACGAATATTGGGCCAGGGTCACTTTCCTCAACTTACAGATGGGAAAAGGCATAGATAGGGGCATGACAGACACAAACATGTAGAATGCCAGAGGGGAAGGTGAAATATGGGGTGAGGAGACCTGCTGACCTGAAGCTTGCAGTTTCCCTCCTCCAGCTGCTCCATGGGGAAATGAGGCTGTTTTCTCCCCATTAACAACAGCAGCCTGGGGCTGTCACCACAGATGCAGATGTGGATACAAAAAAGAGGGGGGAGCCCCCCAGGAGATGTGGCCAGGTGGTCCATTCAATTGCTGCGCAAAAGATGGAAAACGAATCCATCCATTGGCCCCACAGGAGAAAGGCCTGGCCATCTGCTCCCACTTGGTGCCCAGGAGTCAAATCTGACTCACAGTGATCCACCTATGAATGCTGATCCGAGGCCAACCCTGGGCCGTCCTCCTCAATCTAGATCCTCTGTGATGGGGTTCCCTCCGCCACAGGGGACGGCTGTGGCTTAGTTGATAACAAGCTGCCCTGCCAACCCAAAGGCACACAGTTCAAATCCAACAACTGCTCTGCCAAAGAAAGATGTACCGTCAACTCCCTTGTGATTTCCTGCCTATAAAACCCTACTGGAGGATGTGCTATGGGTCAATTCTGAATTGTCAATACTAAGATGACAGCGTGTGGGGGGCACTGGATTCTACGACCAAGGTTCACTCCATAGCCAGGGTACGCTGATTTAGTCATGATTTCACTGTAGGCACTCATTTTAAAATAGAAACTGTCATGTGCCTGAACACTAAACAGGCACTATCAAGATACACCCACCTGTGTCCCTGCGAACTGCATGCCTGCAACTCTGTTTCCCTCTGTGGCTCCCGAATCTCAGTTTAGCCATTCAGAAAATGGGCTGACAACTCCTGCCTTCGTGGGATGTAGGGCTTCTGATGGCATAGTGTTTCATCAGTTGTGTTCCTAAGGTCAGCAGTTCTGATCCTCCAGCTGATCCTCAGGAGAAAGATGGGCAGTGTCTTCCTGTAAAGATTTATAACCTCGGAAGTGTAGTGGAGGGGGGTAATGTCAGCAGAACGTTGAGGGCAGTGGGATTGGAGATGGTAAGCTGAGTCAGAGCTGCTGTCCTGTTGCTGGTGAAGTGGCACTGACCCATAGTGACCCTGCTCTCAGCAGAACAACGCCCTTCCCTTTCTACTCCATCCTCAAGTCCACCACTGGTCTATCTCTGTGTCTACTGTGGTGGCTTGTGTGTTTCTGTGATGCTGGAAGCTGTGCCACCGACACAAATATCAGGGGGTCACCCATGGCAGGCAGGTTTCAGTACCTTCCAGATCAAGAGAGACTAAGAGAAAAGGCCTGGCTCTCATAACTGAAATACTGTTGATGCTACATGTTGTCCAGTTGTGTCCAACTCATGGTGTCCCCAAGAACAACTGACTGAAACTTGCTCTAACTTGCATGTGATTAAGCATTACTGAGCTGAATGACCTATAGCTGACCTTCTAGAGGAAGAGATTGCCAATCTTTTTCTCAAGGTACAGCAGGTTGACTCAAATCGCACGACTTTGTCTTGGCAGCACAGTTCCTATAGATGAAAAATTGTATGGCTGTGTTTCTTTCCTCACCTATGGTGATTAGATAATGGCTGATTTTTAGGCATTGGCTGGACGCATGCAAGGCTGGGCTCACAGCACAGCTCTGAAAGTCTCAGGATGAACCCATATGTGGGCATGGACTAGTAACTTGACATTTGCCGTAAGTTGCTAACAGACAAAGGAAAGAGGGAGGGGGCTCAGAGATGCTGATGTGGGCGTTTCTTAAGGTTTGACTTACTCAGAGGCAAAGCCCTGGGCAGTGGCAGGCAAACTTGAGTCTCAGTAGTTGTGATGTTAGCCTCAAACACAGTTGGATTTTTTTTTCTTAGCTATTACAGTTAGCCTCCGCTGGTCTCCAGCTACCTTAACTGTAGACACTGGTCTTGGAAATCACAAACAGCTGTGGGACTTGGATAAGAGAGAGTGCTTTCCACATTGGATGGCAAGTTCTGAGAAGAGCAAGCATTGTGGCAGCAACTCTTGAAGGACACTAAAGCAAGATCATAGTGAGAGTGAGACCCTAATTGTGAAGAACCTGTGGCATTGCTATGGGAGAAATGGTGATGGTATAAGCAGAAAATAACTGACATAAAGGCCCCAGTTAAAGGTTTTTGCTATTCTTGACAGAAGCTTGATGGAGAAGCTGACTTATAATTGGTCTAAGGCAAACCTTGCTGGATGATTTGTATTTAACTGTTGAACTGAAACCAGATCCAGAACTAACAGAGGCATTATGCCTTGGATCTTAGGCTGAAATCTGAAGTAGCATTGGGTGATATACTTTGCCACCCCTATTCTCTGACTTACTTCCCTAATATACTGCCTTATCAGTGCCACAGATGTGAGTCTGTGAGACAGCAATGACACACAAAATTCTTGTTGCTGCAGTGGCTGTAGAAACCTGAGAGGCTGAACTAGGGGCCCCTTACCTGCTTTCTGCTCTGCTGCTGGGAGGGGCTGTGTTCTTCTCACTTGCTCTGGTTCGTACAGAGAGACGTTCATGTCCCTCTGCCACCGTGGCTCATTTCCCCTCAATCAAGGCCATACTGTTTGCAAATACTTACTATGTGTCAGAAAGCTGGACAATCACTAGGGATGATGAGTGGGGAACTGATGCCTTTAGCTCTGATGCTGTAGAAAAGAGTTGAATTTACTATGGACTGCTAGGAGAAGAAACAGGTTTGTCAAAAGAGGGTGAAAGCAAGGCTGCTCCTTGGAGGTAATGATTCTGAAGCTTTTTCTGACATATTTGAACATGTTGCAAGGAGGGACCAGTCCTTGGACAGTGACACCATGCTTCACAGTGTAGAGGGACAGTGCCAGAGATGAAGACCCTTGATTTGGTGGATGGATTTTTGTAACTGGGATAGTTGGTATATGAGTGTCAGAGACAGTAAGATTTGCACACGATAAAGCAGGTTTTAGGGCTTTTATACATAGGGTTGCTATGAGTCGCAGGCCACTCGATGGCCCATAACAACAACAGACAATGATATATGACAGTGACTCAGACATGGATGTAAGCAACCAGCAAGGAGGAAAGTAACCACGCTCAGCTTTGCTTTGCAAAAAGCCTATTCCCAACTGTCTCACCCTCATGCCCCTTCCTTTCTCCCAGCAGATCCGAGCCTTCAGGTGCAGTGTCGAGCTTCCAGGTACCCAGTCAGCATAGATTGCTCCTGGACACAGTCCCCAGCTCCAGAGGCCAACATGTCCAACAACTTTATCACCACATACAGGTCAGAGAGTCACAGAGTAGAACAGTCTTCCTGGAGATCCCACAGTGTAGAGAGCAGGCTGGGTTCCAGTATCCCTAGAGGTGCCTTAGTAATTGCTAAAAGCCTGTGGATAAATTTAAACTGCGGAAAATTAGATGAAATGAGGTTACACCCAGAGGCACTCGCTGTATCAAAAGTGTTCCATACCCATGCCTGGGTGGTGCCTCCTCCCCTGCCCAAAGAAAACAACGGGAATATTGCAGGACATTCTACCTGATAGCGATGAGGTAATTCTAAGAACATTCCAAGGTCTGAAATCTAAGGAGTCACAGTAATGTACAGACCAGGATGTCCTTGTTTCCGTTTCCAGAGTCTGGGAATCTTAGGGCTCTGGACTATTGGAATTCCACAGGTGTGGGGTAGACATTCCAGAATCCCTTAGAATCTGAACACTGAAGCATATCCCTGGGGAGGTCCAGTGCCTGCACAGCCACACGGCAGCGCTAGAGCAGGACACAGTGCCTTTTCCCTGTTCCCTGGCAACTGCAGACCACCAGCCCCTCACAGTGCCCATCTCCTGCAGGGTCGGAATGGAAGACAGCAAGCCCTGCAACCAGTCGATACCTGGCTCCCTCAGTTGTAGCATCTCAGATTTCATGAATTTCTCCAAGTTGCCTCATGTGCTCAATGTCACGGCCATCCACCCCACGGGCATCAGCACCAACCTCCTGACCTTTGTGCCTGATGATATCAGTGAGTGGGGGCATCTGGGGTGGGGGTGGAGGATACCGGGGGGGTTCTTACTCCTCTCTCCTCTGTGAACCTGTCCTCCAAACCTGTCCTCTATAATGTATGCAGATTGTACCAACTTTGTCCCCAATCCTCCTCCACTTGATTCAGACCTGGTCTCACAGCCCCCACAAGCTTTCTCTAAATGGAAGCCAGAGGGCGCCCGTGAGCGTGGGAATTCATCCCAAGTCTCTTGGCCAACAGCCCTCCAGGGATCCACCTTCCTTGGGTAAAACCACAAGTCTTCTCCATGTGCAGGGAACCCAGCACACTCTGCCCCGCTCCCTCCCTGCCCTCCTCTCCTCTTCTCTCCCCTTTTCTCTCCACTCCAGACACCAGGGATTCCTCCCTCTCCCCCTAACTCGCCCAGACCATTAGTGCAGCAGGTAATTTGCAGAGGTTGTTCCCGCTGCATGCTTTCCCGCAGAGAAAGTCTGGCTTCCTCTGAACTTGCTGTAGGTATCTGCACATATGCCACCTCCTCCGTGAGGTCTTCCCTGTGCACCATGATAAAACTTGCAAACCCTCATCCACTGCTGGAGGGAAAGTAAGATGATGCAACAGCTTTAGGGAAGAGTCGGCAGTTCCTCAGACGGCTAAGCACAGACTTCTATACAACACTGAAGGAGTCCTGGAGGCACAACGGTACAAGAACGTGGTTCCTATCGCAATGGTTAATGGTTCAAACCCACAAGCAGCTTCCCGGGATAAAGGGTCTCTAATTTAGATCCTCAGTTGTCGTTATTTGCTGTTGAGTCAGCTTTAATGCAGAGACCCCATGTACGACTGAGCAACACTGTGGCTGGTCCTGAGCCAGCACCCCAGCTGCCACTTCCTTCACCCCATGTCACAGTCATCTGTCATTCATTCCAACCCACCTCACTAAGGACTTTCCTTTTTGCTCCCTCGTTGTTGTGTCAAGGTTAGTGTCCTTTCCCAGGGACTGGCCCTTGCTGATTACACGCCCAAAGTCTGTGAGATGAAGTCTCCTGCCATCTTTGCTCTAAGGCACACCCTGACTTCACTTCCTCCAAGACAGATCTGTCTGTTCCGTCTGGCAGTCCATGGTGTATTCAATATTCTTCAACAATCTCCCAAATCAAAGGCATCAATTTCCCTTCATCTTCCTTATTATCTGACTCTCTCATGCATATGAGGTGGTTAAAAATACACTGGTGTCAAGTATGTGCACCTTAGTCTGTGAGGTGGCATCCTTGCTTGACCTTGGGAACCCTAAGTTTCAGTTCTCCTCATTCCTAAAGGGTAACTGTCAGTCAGAATTGCCTCACTGGAGGTGGTAATAGAACACTTAAACAGGGTCACACATAAGTATGTACCTGAGTGTTCATAACAACGTTACTCCTAAAACCCAAAATGTAGAAGCAACATGAATGTCGATCATTAGATGATAGAGGAACACGATGCATCCCAGCTGCCCCAAGGACCCTTACTCAGTCATCCAGAGGATGAAAACTCTTCAAAACGGAGGAGGAGGAGGCATAGATGCAGCTGGTCACAAAACCCATGTGTCATAAGAGTCCATTTGCTCATACCGTCCTGACCAGGAAAACCCATAGAGTGATTAGCGGCTGCCTGGGGCTTAGGGCAATGGAGAGTGGCGAGTGGCTGCTGGTGGGTCTGCATTTCCAATAGTGCTGATGAAAATGATCTAGAATTAGACTGGAGATGATTGTACACCCTGATGAATGGAAGGAATATCCTGAATTGCACACTACAAAAGGGTAAATTTGAAGGGTGGGGGGAATCACTATCCCTATGGGCTGCCTATGGAGGGCAAGTGACAGTGTGAGTGAAGCTGGGTCACAGCTTTAAAAACATTTCAGTTTAAAATGAAATTTGATTTTAAAATGACAACCCACTCCAAAACGGCTGCCTACTCTGTGTGATCTCCTATTTCGTCTCCTGTTCCTTATCACCTCTTTGATGACTAGAAGTTCCAGGAAGACAGAGCTGGGGTGGTTTGTATCTTAGTTCTTCTTCTGGCCTCTGGGACAGCATGGGACATGCACTGGGTGATTAACACATACTTGTTGGTTGAATAAATGAATGAATGAATGAATGAATGAACGAATGAACAAATGCCTTCTGCTTGTCCATCAGTCAAACCCGACCCTCCGGTGATCATGCATGTGAGCCAGGTCTCTGAGAATCATCTGCAGGTGCAGTGGAATGCCCCTGGGTCTTGGCCCCTCCCAGGTGTCTATGGACTCAAATACCAGCTTCGCTACAAGCGCTGCAAAGCTGAGCACTTCCTGCAGGTGAGGAGCACACAAGGGAGAGGAGAAAGGGGCCTAGAGTGGTACCGGGTATGGCCACCCCGCTAGATGGGACATCACATGCAAACTGGGCAGGGTCAGCAGGGCTTGTGAACACCTTGGGGTGAAAAGTGTGTAATGTAAAGGAAGTCAGCAATTACACACCCAGCAGTCCACCCACGAGATGAAAACCCACCTCCAAACATCAGTGTCCAATGCAGCTCTCTTTGCGAGAGCCAGGAGTAGAACCCGTCCAGGGTCCATCAGCAGGTGGTCTGTCTGAAAAAAAGCATGAAGTCCGAATTGTTGTGATTGTTGGTTCCACCCCATCGGCGTTGACTCTTGATGACCCGTTTGTGCCTTCCCGTGCTGCCCTCACCTGGGTCGCTGTGCTTGAACCCAATGGCCAATCACGGTGTCGTCCACTTCATTGCAGATCTTTCTATTTCTCGTGTTACTCTCTGGGGTTGGTTCTGACACCAGCCCCATCCAGGTCTGCGCCCTCTTCACAATCTGCTCTGCGTCCCCATCCTGGCAGTCACCTGGTCGACCCATCTCTCTGAGCTACTCCTCTCTCACTCACTGACCATTATTCAGCAATCATGAAGTCTTCCTGCAGGTCCTGGCCCCTCCCAATACCATCCTCAGAATAATTCTCCTCCCAGGAGTGTACTCAGAATAACCGAAGGACTCAGACACACGCACATGCCTATTCAGAAGAGCAGGAGACACGGTGGCTAACAGGTGGAAACAGCCTGCTGTCCGTTCACTGGAGAGTGGTTTTACACAGCGCACGCCATTTATATAAAGGATTGCTATTTGGCCATAAAGAGAAATGAGGTCCTGATATATGCTGGGGCCTGAGACATGATGCCAAGTGAAAACAGCCAGAGGCAGAAGATGGATGGCATGCTCTAAAAATCCCTTTATGTGAAATATCTAGGGTAGGTAAAACCATAAAGAGAGAAAACAGATTATAGTGATAGAGCACAAGAATGTTTCTTTGAGGCCTATGATGTGCCGGACACAAGCCATGGGATTTCAACTAACAGCGATGCATGTGAAAGCTGGATCATGAATAAGGAAGACAAAAGCACTTACATCTTTAAACTGGAGCGCTGTTGAAGAATATTGAATACACTGTTATAGTGACCAAAGCATGAAAACATCTGTCTCAAGGGAAGAGCGGGTTGGATTTTCCTTAGAAGAAAGGATGGTGAGATATCATCACACACACTTGGGGCATGGTATCAGGAAGGGCCGTTCCCTGGAGAAGTCCATCGTGCGTGAAAAGCAGAGGGTCAGCAAAAAAGAGGACGACTTTCATTGACATAGATTGAGACGGTGGGTGCAACAATGGACTTAGTACAGCTGAGATGTGCAGGTGAAGGCAGACACTGGAGGGCGAATAGTTAGGTTGGGAGGGACCCAAGTGGAGTGTGTGTGTGTGTGTGTGTGTGTGTGTGTGTGTGTGT